TTTACAAGTTAGTTTTTAGAAATAAAATCTGGAGAGACAAAAATATCACATGCATACATGTAGACATGCATAAAAATAAAGACATACAAACAGAGAGCTCATAGCTTTTATTTTAAACGTTAGCCACAATAATACAGGTACAATATCACAAAACTCAACTAGCTTATAAAAGAACAGTTGGATCTAAATGGCGTTTTTGGCAGATGGAACAAGTTAAGTTTATCTACTCAGATAAAGGTTTTTACCAATATTTGTAGAGAAGACTTTGAAATTTTTATTTGTCTTTATAGGTACTCTTATGGAGTCTGTGGACTAAATTTTGGTCAAGGGAGCTTATGAAAATATCAGGTAGCAGTTTGTTTTATTAGCTCTGCCGCCCTCAACACACCCACCCTCTGTCTAAGGGGTTGCCTTAGGCAACACTTACCTCCTTGGAAGCTTACCTTTTAAGGACATGGAAAGATTAATATTTCCACAGTGCTGAGAAAGGAAGTAGGTTTTATTTAAGAAGGAACTCAGGGGCATATTTGCCTATTATCAGAAATCTAGGGTAATACCTATTTAATTTTTCTTCTTTAAGAGTATGAGTCCATCGGCCCGCAGACCAGAGTCCCGGGTTCGGTTCCCACTAAGGGCACATACCTTGGTTGCAGTTTGTCCCCGGCCCCGGCTGGGGTCATGTGAGTGGCAACCACTCGATGTGTCTCTCTCACATCGATGTTTTTCTCTCTCTTGCTCCCTCTCTCTCTCTCTCTCTCCCTCCCTCTATATCTGAAGGTAAATGCAAAAAAAAAAAAAAAAAAAAATGTCCTCAGGTGAGGAGAAAAAAAAGAGTATGAGTCCAATGAATTTTTTTTTTTTTTTTTTTTTAGTGAAAGCTCAAAATATAAGTCCTGGACCTTGTGAGGTCTGCTTATGGAGTAAGGAACAATAAATCAAACCTTTGTTCCATTTTCTGGGCCTTTGTCAAAGCTATATCCTGGCTACCAGTATTTATGTAGGTTTCAACCTGCTACGGTGTCACTGGCAGTTTTGACATTTGTTTTAAGCCTGATCTCTACTTCCCAATCTTTTTTTTTTCTCCCAATTTTTATTAATTTATTTTCGTTACAGATGTTTCTCCCCCTGCCCCGGACACCCTCCTCCCCATTCCACTTCCCAATCTTGTTAAGGAAGTGTTTTGGGGTTTTCTTGGGGGTTTTTTGTTTGTTTGTTTGATTTGATTTTTGTTTGATTTTGCAGTTTAAAAAATTAAATTTATTGGGGTGATTTTTGTTAATAAAATTATATGGGTTTCAGATGTACAATTCTATAATACATCATCTGTATAAGGCATTGTGTGTCCATCACCCAAAGTCAAATCTCCTTCCTTCATATATAGGGTATCCCAAAAAATGTATACACACTTTGAATTAATTATAAAGCCAGTGTTTATTAAAACACATTTTATTTTCAAAATATAATAGAATCTGCAGACACCCTGTATACATTTTTTGGGGGGGACACCCTGTATTTGAACCCCTTTATCCTTTACTATCCCCCTCATCCCCTTTCCCTCTGGTAACCACCATACCGTTGTCTGTCTATGAATTTTTGTTTGTTTTTCTTGTTTGTTCATTTGCTGCTTTCAGTTTTATAGCCCAGATATAAATGAAAACTTATGGTTCTTGACTTTCTCTCTCTGACTTCTTTCTTTTTAAAAAAATTTTTTTTATTGATTTTTTTTTTAATCCTCACCCGAGGATATTTTTCAATTTATCTTCAGATAGAGTGGGAAGGAGGGAAAGAGAGAGAGTGAGAGACACACATTGACTGGCTGCCTCCCACACGACCCCGACCAGGACTGGGGACTGAACTACAACCGAGGTACATGCCCTTGACTGGAATTGAACCTGAGACTCTTTGGTCCACAGACCGACGCTCTAACCACTGAGCAAACCGGCCAGGGCCTCATTGTAGTTTTGATTTGCATTTCCCTAATAGCTAGTGAAGCTGAACACTTTCAAATAGTGGTTGGCCATTTGCATGTCATGTTGGAAGAGCTGTCTGTTCAGGTCCTCTGCTCATTTTTAATTGGATTGTTTGTTTGTTTGGTGTTGAGTTGTATGAGTTCTTTATATATTTTGGATATTAACCCCTGTGGGAGCTGTTGTTTGTAAATATCTTCTCCCATTCAGTGTTTTGTTTTGTTTCTCACACTAGGGCATTTTTCTGTATCTATTTTCTTTCTTTCTTTCTTTCTTTCTTTCTTTCTTTCTTTCTTTCTTTCTTTCTCTCTTTCTTTCTTTCTTTCTCTCTTTCTTTCTTTCTTTCTCTCTTTCTTTCTTTCTCTCTTTCTCTCTTTCTTCTCTTCTTTCTCCCTCCCTCCCTCCCTCCCTCCCTCCCTCCCTTCCTTCCTCCTCCCCTCTTTTCCTTTCTTCCAATAGGACATTTGTTTAGAATAAGAGCTCTCTTGAAAATCCTTTTAGATGTGAAAGTCCAGATCTTCAAAGATATATTTCAATTGTGACTGCATACCAATAAGTCTTTTTATGGCTTAACCATGGACACAAGAGCTGTCTCCAAAGAGTATGTAAAAGATGTAGATGTCTCAAGACGCAGAGCCGCTCCAAAGATAGCCTAAGAAAGCAAAGACCTCATTGTCATGGGTGGTAAAGAAACTTCTATCTCCCTCAAAGTGAGACACCTAAATCACAGACTCATTAATCTGTATTACTGGAAAGCTCATGCTGGGACGGGGATTTTTCTAGCACAAACAAGGCAACAAAAGTAGAGATGACAATGGTCGCTTATATACTGGGACTCTTAATGAAGATAAAGCTGGCATATTTGGATAAAGAGAGTGCTGCTTGTCAGATGTCCTAGGCTCTGGCCAGCTGGCTAGCTGCCTGATGCAAGCTTGACAGTGTACGCCCCTTCCCACCCCCAAGTGGCAGAAACCAGAGAGTATTCTCATTGGTTACAAAGCAAAGTTTTGAGTACATAAAATAAAGACAAATGGAGGGGCTTATCTGTGATTTTCATCCTTATGAAAAATGACACAAAAAACAGACAAGCCCTGGCCGATTTGGCTCAGCAGTTGGAGCGTCGGCTTGTGGTCCGGAGAGACCCAAGTTCGGTTCCCGCTAAGGGCACGTACCTCGGTTGCAGTTTGTCCCCGGCCCTGGTTGGGTTGTGTGGATGGCAACCACTCGATGTGTCCCTTTCACGTCGATGTTTCTCTCTCTCTCTCTCTCTCTCTCTCTCTCTCTGCCTCCTACTCTATCTGAACAAAAGATGGAAAAATGTTCTCAGGTGAAGATTTAAAAAAAAAAAGAGAGAGAGAGAGACAAAAGAAAACATGACTATTTCTGGCAGGCTAAAAATCAATAACCTAGGGTGCCCCAAACCAAATTTATAAGAGTCACAATACAAGATCTATTTTTACAGGTTTTTTTTTCCCTGCCATTATACATTTGGAAAGAAAGAGACAAGGAGAAATTTTTATCCTCTCCTCTTGACTAGTCAGATATGGGACATTGGCATGGCAAGAATTCTTACCTTTGCTGCCGGTTGTCACTTACAGCCCCTATCTCAGCTGCAGTCTCTAGGCAGAGTGGAGCACCCCAGTCTTATACTGTCCCTTCCTCGTTGCCAGAGACTGTACAGGGGGGGAAATATCTTCCCTGCTACCCTTTTAGGGTTTCAGTTGAAACTCTGTAACAAAAAGCAGATTAACAAGAGAAAACAAACCTGTTTATTCACATACACATCTCATATATACTTGGGAGCAGTGCAGGGCTGTGTAACTCAAAGAGGTGGCTAGAACTTGAGCTTACATAGTATCTTCACCAAAGACAATACATTTGTAGAGAAATGACAAGACAGAGGAAAGGAGTCTTTGGCTTCCAAGGGCAGTAAACTGTGAGAAGCTAAATATATGGGAAACTAATGGACGATCATAGCTAGTCAGTAAAGTTATGTGCTGTCTCGGGGCTGACAAGCATCTAGGATTTTAAGTTAGGAACTTCTGCAGAAATGTATGTTCTGCTTTCAGGCAAATAGTACAGAGAGCTTTTCATGGATCTGCTGCTTCTCAACTGCCTGCAGCTCAAAATAATCCTTACAACAAAGAGGCAGTTTTGTGTTTTTTTTTAAATCTTCACTCAAGGACATTTTTCCATTTTTTGTTCAGGTAGATTGGGAGGGAGAGAGAGGAAGAGAGAGAGAGAGAGAAACATTGACGTGAAAGGGACACATCGAGTGGTTGCCACCCGCACGACCCAACCAGAGCCGGGGACAAACTGCAACTGAGGTACGTGCCCTTAGCGGGAACCGAACCCGGGTCTCTCGGGACCGCAGGCCGCTGCTCTAACCGCTGAGCCAAACCGGCCAGGGCAGGGGCAGAGTTTTGAGAGGCATATTTTGTTATTCTTCTGTAGGTTTGATTATAAAGCTCCTCTACTTTATAATGACCTCCATGTTTTAACATGGAAATCTAAGGTAAGGCATTGTTAAAAAAGAGTTAGGAATGTTGCTCACATGAGTCTTATTTATAAACAAAAAATGTATCCCAGTAACAAAAAAAGTTAGAGTAGAACTCTGGCTGAGCAACACGGTGTTGTGCTAGACACCTGTCCAAACGACAGAAGATGTGTTACGTTCTTCTGTGCAGAGAGTACATGAAATACTTTTACGTGAAAAAGATGAAGACAATTTAATGGAATGAATGTTATCAAAGGTCAGAGCGTTCGTTTGTTCTTTTTTTTTTTTAATAATTGTTGAAATTCATGACAAAATAAGAGTTAAGTTCTTGTTTTGAAAACAGTGTGAAAACCAATTCTTCCTGAGCCAGGTCTTTAAATAATGTCATTTCACCGTTTTCCTGTGGGTTCAATTCTTTTAGCCTTTTAAAGTCAGTGGAATTAAAAATCGTTCCTGTTTTCCACATCTCAAAGGGTGGAGCCTCCAAACCACCAAGAGAAGAAGGAAGTTAAAAGATGTTAAATACTGGGGCCAGCCTACCCTGACCAGCCTAGAGGTCTGGCTTCCCAGGCAACATGAAGGCTCTCCTTATTCTGGGGCTTCTCCTCCTTTCTGTCGCCGTCCAGGGCAAGGTCTTTGAAAGGTGTGAGTTGGCCAGAACTCTGAAAAGACTTGGAATGGATGGCTACAGGGGAGTCAGCCTGGCAAACTGTAAGTTAACTCTTCTTCATACTTCCAAATAGTCAGCCAGGTGTGCGACAGATGCTGATAGAGGATGAATAATAAGAAAGGGGCTTTGAATGGTCATTTTTCTAAAATTCCTTGAGGATTTATACACTTAAAATGGTTTTAAAAACATCAGCTTGTTCCTTTAGAATCAGATATACCTGATGAAGAAATGAGGGCATGGGAGGGAAAAACTGTGTACCACTCCAAATAAACCACGACCCACTGTATGCTTTGAATGCCACTAAATTTACCAGTTGCCTCAGACTCAGTGGCACACGTAGGCTGACTAATACGTTTGAGCAGCTGAGAAATCTCTGCCAAGTCTTTGGTACTTGAGTCCAGCTATTTCCTGTGTGGTACTTGGGTTCTGTGAGCCTAGGGTAATGCAGTATTTTCTCTTTTTTAATTCCCTTGCATGACACGAGGCTTTTAGTAGCAAAGTTGGGGTTTTTTGTTGTTGTTGTTGTTTTAAAATTATGTTGAAATCTCATTACAGGGCCAGTAGGAACCCATTTCCCCTCAATCACTGTTTATACAAGGATCCCTGAAATGCAGCGTGAAATGACAGTTTATTATTTTTACTCACTCTAGTTGACTAATTGTTTTCATTTTCTTCCAAGCAATCCAAGATGTGCCTGTGAAAAAGTTATTTTATATTTTAGTCCATATTTGTCAATGTAATCACTGTATCTTTAGATTAAATTTAGACATTTCCCCTTAATAACTATTTTTAAGTGAATGAGTGAGTAGTTTGATGGATATATGGATGGATGGATGAAATAGTCTTTCCTGTTCTACATCTTATTCTTATAAAGGATTTAGTAAGATAAAATTAGCTATATGGAAATGATTGTGGTATGCAGTGTAAGTCATGTGGTGTTGCTATTTATTACTAAAATTACGTTCTTTTCAGGGATGTGTTTGGCCAGATGGGAAAGTAGTTACAACACACGAGCTACAAATTACAACCCTGGAAGCCAAAGCACCGATTATGGGATATTTCAGATCAATAGCCGCTACTGGTGTAACGACAACAAGACCCCCAGAGCAGTTAATGCCTGTCGCATATCCTGCAACGGTAAGACAAAATGACTGAGTGGTGACACAAGAACCATCTGGTTGTACTTACAAGAATAGAGACTCAGTACAAATGAAAAGGTTTTGAAAAGTTCATCAGGGTCCTAGAAAAAGCCTACCTTGCTCTGCCCTGGTGTCTCAGTTAGTTGAGCATTGCACCGCACACCAATAGGTTGCAGGTTCGATTCCAGGTCAGGGCATATACCTAGATTTTGGGTTTGATCCCTGGTTGGGGCATGTATGGGAGGCAACTGACTGATGCTTCTCTCTTTCTTTCCCTCCCTTCCTCTCTCTCTAAAATCAATTAAAAAAAACATATCCTTGGGTGAGGATTCAAAAATAAACAAAACAAAAAAACAGAGGTGACACAGACTTTAAAAAATAAATAAACTTGCCCTGGCTGGTTGGGCTCAGAGGTTAGAGCGTTGGCCCGTGGACCGGAGAGACCCGGGTTCGGATCCCGCTAAGAGCATGTACCTTGGTTGCAGTTTGTTCCCGGCCCCGGTTGGGGTTGTGTGGGTGGCAGCCAGTCGATGTGTCTCTCTTGCATAGATGTTTCTCTCTCTGTCTTCCTCCCTCTCTCCCTCCAGCTCTATCTGAAGATGGATGCAAAAATGTCCTTGGGTGAGGATAAAAAAATAATAATAATAAATAAATAAACTCATAAAAAGAGAAATATTGGAGAAGTATTGTACAATTGATATTGTTAAATGTCTCAATGTTAAAATTTCTAATAGAGATTATTCTTAGAATATTCTTTAGTATCCAGTTAATTTATTTAAAAATATTTTGTATTATATAATAATCTGTGGGCATTGAATAAAAATTCTTACTACCAAGAGATTTATGACTACTTGTAACTTTGGTATATATTCTTCTAGAATATATAGCATATATATGAATGTAAAGCCATATCATGTGCATATATACCTACATACATCATGTAAGTAATGTGTGTTTTAACAGAAATGAAGTTATACTATGTATACTGCTTTACAATTTACTTTTTAGCATATAAAATTTTTTCTGTGGTAACAAATACCAATCTTTATTATTTTTATTTTATTTATTTATTTATTTATTTTTATTAATTAATTTTTGTTACAGATGTTTCTCCTTTTCCCCCCACTGCAATCTTTATTATTTTTAAAGGATGGATAGAATTCCACTGGATAAATATTCCATAATTTATTGATTCAACTCTTACTGTTAAGCATTTAAGCTGTTTTCATTTTCTGCTTTTATTAATCGCAATGAAATGCCTTGTGAATACATCTTTGGGTGCATTTCTTATTATTTATTTAGGGGAAATTTCTAGTAGTAAAATTGCTGATTCAAAAATTGCTAGGTTGGCCCTGGCCGGTTTGGCTCAGCGGTTACAGTGTCGGCCTTTGGTCCAGAGAGACCCAGGTTCGGTTCCACTAAGGGCACGTACCTCCGTTGCAGTTTGCCCCCAGCCCTGGTTGGGTCAGGATCATGCGGGAGGCAGCCACTTGATGTGCCCCCTTCACGTCAGTGTTTCTCTCTCTCTCTCTCTCATCCTCTCTCTCTCTCCCACTCTATCTGAAAAACAAACAGAAGAATATCCTCAGGTGAGGATAAAAAATAAATAAATAAATAAAAATTGCTTGGTTGGTTCCTCTTTTTCTTATAGTGCCTATTACAAAAAGAATCATCTATCACATTAGTTAATAATTCCAGAGCTTCCAATAACTTTGGTAAAAGAGAAACAATGCTTTATTTCATATCAAATGAAATGGAATGAAGAAAACGTTTTCCCCCAACATTCACAGATACGTAACTCGTAGAAAATTTTAGTGTCTGTTCTTCAGCCTAAGAGAATAAAACTAGCTAAACCTAAACTTCAAATGAAATTTCTGTGAAAGTTGTTTTCATTCCTCACCACCTCTTTTTCAGTTTTGCTGCAAGATGACATCACTCAAGCTGTAGCGTGTGCAAAGAGGGTTGTCAGTGACCCACAAGGCATCAGAGCATGGTATGTGTTAAGCATTAACGGGGAAAGCTATTTTACCCCACTGTTATGAGAGAAGCGAGTGAAGATTTTCCAAGACCACGGAATGCTGGGAACTGAAAGATGCAGCTTTAGACTTATGCTAAACAATCTATCACTTGGAAGCGATCTACTTTAACTGATTCAGAATTGTTTCTTTTACTCCTCTATTAATTGTAGGGGATTTCTAGAACTTTTAAGATTTTTCACACTCCCTTAATTCCTTGTGATATTTTGAAATGGTTTGGAATGAGGTAAACGTGCAATGCACTGTGCAGTCGCTGTCGGGGATGCAGGCTCAGCATTCTATGCTTCAGCGAGGGCTCTGGGAGAAGCGAAGTATTTGGTGTACATATCTCCATTTAATAAACAGCAGTACCTGGATCTATCAATAGCCTGTATTTCGTATATTGATAAACTATTTTGTTGTCCCCAAAGACTTGATGTATGTATATTGCAATGAAGATATGCTTTAACCGTACCACCTTTTGTTACACCTCTCCCTGCAGGGTGGCGTGGAGAAATCGCTGTCAGAACCAGGATCTCACTCAGTACGTTCGGGGTTGTGGAGTGTAACTGGAATTTCCCTTCTTCAGCTCATTTTGTCTTTTTTTCATATTAAGGGAGTGGTACTTGAGTGAAAGTCCACACTACTGTTCTTTCAAACAAATAATGTTTTTACGGAAGCCAGGAACAACATATGATCTTTCTTCTAAGAGGCTAATATTTTCTAGTGTGTTTCTTATTGGATAGTAAGCCTACAACTCGTTTCAGTTTGCTAATAGAACTAATGCTGGTGAAAATGTACCTAAAAATCTTGATTATCAAATATGGCTCCAGTCCATTCAGTTCTTAATCAAAGAAATAAGCCAGACCTCATCTTGAATGATACAAGTACTCCTCAATATTCGAGAGACTATTTTAAAACACATTGATCTTAGGCAAAATCTCAGCCACGTAGGCATTTGATGTGTTCATCTGTTCAGTCGACTCCCCAAATAGTAAAAGATAATCATTCTTTATTGGGAAATATAAAATTTACAAAGGAGCAGAATGCCAAATGCCTGGAAATGGAGACAACCTGAATTAAAAACTTTGTTTTCATTAGGTACAACCTTTGGTTTAAATGTTTTCTTAGAAATGTTGCTTTTATACAGCTTTAAGAATGAACTCACAATTTATATAGCCCTGTAAAGAACTCTTCTATGCATCTTGCTGATCATGAAGGAATATCAAGAAGGATTAGATGAGCTGTTGTTGTTTCTTAGTTTTATCAGTTTAGATCCATGCATTATGACTAAAACTAGAGGCAGATGAGTTTGAAAGTGGTAAAATAATTGCCAATTAACCACCAGTGTGAAATTTTCATGTTGTAAAAAAAAAAAAAAAATTTCATTAAAGGCTTTGTAACGCATACCTTGTCTAACTTTGTTTAAACTTCTCTAGTGTCTTTGACTATATATAAATATATATATCTCAATGACTGGGCCCTCTTACTATTTCCTTATATCCTCACCTATACCCAAACAGCTGGATATTGCTGGAAAAAACCCACAAGCAGGGATGGGGATGAGGGGGGGAGATAAACCACAGAACTTATATGCATGTATGAGTAACCAATGGACATAGACAACAATGCTGGGGATGGGGCAGGAGTGGGGGTTTGAGAGGAGGGTGTCAGTGGGGGGAAAAGGAGAAACATCTGTAACAAAAATAAATTAATTTTTAAAAATTACAAAAAAAGCAAAAACCCACCAGCATATTGACAGATCTCACTTCAAATTCATAACCACACATCTCACTTGGGCCCTCAAGTTTGCTGGGCCATCTTAGTCACGTCTCTGCAATCCTTCAGTGTTGGTGTCCCCGCTCCAAAATGTCTGTTACTATTTTACTTTTCCTCCTCTTCAAAGCCCCAGCACACATGCCTGACCACTCACCTTCTACCCCTCTCTGCTCTTCGTATTGGCCGCATGTTATACTGAGAGAACAGAAACAATCTCATACAAAATTCCCCCCTCCTTGTCACCATCACAGGCGTCACACCTTCCCCTCGGTCCCTTCTTCCTTCCTTCCTTCCCTGCTATTACTGGGATGAAGAGCCTGTGCTCCTGTCAATGGTGATGTCTCCACATGGAGTTTCCATCGCATCCCTTCCACTGCTCCAGGTTAGGCTGAGTGTTTCCTGCATCCTGACTTTCACCCTCTTTGCTGAATTACCCCTGTCATTGTCCAAACTGCCCCAGAAAACCTCGTTGCAAAGAACTCTCCATTGAGTCTACAGAACCCTCCAACTACTGCATCATTCTCTGTTCCCTTCTACAGCAACTCTTCTGGGTTTAGGTATCCATACTCGCCGGTTCCACAGCCTCACCTCCTGTTCTCTTTTCAACTCTTCTTAATCTGGCTGCTATTCTCACTGTGCCAAACTGCTCATCTGTGACTTCTCTCACGACTCCTCGGGGCCAATCCCAGTGATCACCTGCTCTCTGTTCATCTACAAAGTGAATCACTTTATACTTCTAGGAGACGTTTTCTCCTTCAGCTTCTCCTCATTCACATCCTGCCTCAATAATTGCTCCTTCTCAGTCCTTGGCTGGTTCTTCTTCTGCTATTTGATTTCTAACTGTGGAGGTGCCCCATGACTCAAGCTTCTAACCATCTGATAGACTAAATATTTTACTTATTTTTTTATTTTTAATTTTTAGAGAGAGAGGAAGGAGAGGGAGAGAGATAGAAACATCAATGAGCGAGAACATCGATTGGCCACCTCCTGCAGGCCCCCCACTGGGGATTTGGCCCACAACCTGGGCGTGTGCCCAGACCGGGAATCAAACCGGCAACCTCTTGGTGCATGGGTCAATATTTGACCACTGAGCCACACCGGCCGGGCTATTTTACTTATTTTTTAATTTGTCTCTTCTTGCTGAAGTATAACTTCCAAAGGAAGACATTTTTTCCACTTTTTAAGACATTGAAATAATATTGATCTTCCCTAAAATGTGAAAGTACAGTACAGAACCCTTTTGTTTTTTCTCAATAGTCTGAAAGTAAATTGTCAATGTATAGTCCAGTTTCCTGAATCATTCAGTGTGTAATTCCTAAATAATCTCAAAACATTATCCAAATCAGGAACTTAACATTGATACATTACTACCACCTAATCATCAGCAGATCTCATTCAATTTCATCAATTGTCCCCTTAAGTTCTTTATAATAAAAAGATCTAATTCAGAATCATGTGTTGTATTTGGTTGACATGATATTTTTTGTTTATTCCCTTCTATCTGGATCATTTCTTCAGGTTTTTTTTCTTTCTTGATTTATGACTTTAACACTTTTGAAAACCACAAACCAGTTATGTTGTAATATGTCCTAAGGTTTTTCTGACGTTCTCTTCATTAGATTAGGGTATGCATCTTTGGCGGGAATACCACAGAAGTGATGCTGTGTTCTTCTCAAGTGGCATGTAGTTTTGAAATGTTCTATTACTGATGATATTTACTCTGATCACTTGATTAAGGTGATGTCTACAAGTTACCATCACTGTAATGAATTTACAAGGGGGTTATGGTATTTTGAAGCTGTTCCTCATCAGAATTTCAATTTATGTTTTATTTATTATATCAGTATAGCCCCATGGCTTCATACTTTATTCAAATGATAATGAATTATAATCCAGTACTGTCATTTGTTTTGTTGTTCACATTGTCCCTGATTTGGCCAGTAGAACCTCCGCAAGCTAGCTTCTGTGTCATTTTGGAATGTCCCCACAATTCTTTGAGCACTTTCTCATTTTCTGGCACAAGATGTTCCGATGCTCACCTTGTTCTGTTCCTGCTCCAGCCCTGAAATCAGCCATTTCTCCAAAAGCCTTGGTTCCTCAGAGTGGATAACACTTTAAGAAAACAAGATCTGGGCACTAGAGTTTCACTGCCCCCATCAATGGACAGAGCTAGAAGATATATGCATTTACACAATATTTATCTATTTATATTGAATTCATACCAGTACCTCCCATTCTAATCCCACACCACAGTGTTTATTCAGTTTTCTTCTCTGACAGTGAGAAACCTGGTTTCCATTGTCCTTAGTATCTTTAAAATGTACTCTTAGTACATGTCTGTATTTGATTAATTTGCCTGTTTGTACCAGTCTCCCAACACTGCCACACCATGGAACAGATGCTCTCCACTCAGGTTCCAATACCCGTCACTGGGCTTCCTCTTTCCCCACATCTGGACACTCTCATTACCTTGTTACATCTTTCACATGCCATGCTGGGTCATTGTCCCAATAGGAAGGAGGACAAAAATTGTTTACTCTTGTTTTTGCTCATTTTCCAAACACCTGGGACAGGGCCTTGAACGTGATACATGCTCAGTAAATATCAGTTGATTTAATACATTTAAAAAAATTATCTAGTATATCCCCCGAAGTTGAGCATTCTAAGATTTTTCTAACTCATCAAGCCCACATGATTCCAGAACAAGAGCTTCTGGGATTCCAAGGGTCAAGTCTCAAGTCTATGTGAATGTAGTACATAGACTAGCCATGGGAAGGCAGCAGCGGGACCCAACACAGGCTCAGCCTTGGGCTTCAAGATTCTGGGACCATTTGGGTATGAGTAAACCCAGAAAGAATATAGGTGTATTCATATCAGGATATCCAGAGATGTAAGAAGAATGGGTCAAGGTAAGGGAGAGAGACATGAAAAGTGACATCTCAGCCCTGGCCAGTTTGGCTCAGCGGTTGGAGCGTCGGCCTGCGGTACAGAGAGACCCGGGTTCGGTTCCCGCTAAGGGCACGTACCTCGGTTGCAGTTTGTCCCTGGCCCTGGTTGGTCGTGCGGGTGGCAGCCACTCGATGTGTCCCTTCACATCGATGTTTCTCTCTCTCTCTCTCTTCCTCTCTCTCCCTCCTGCTCTATCTGAACAAAAAATGGAAAAATGTCCTCGGGTGAGGATAAAAAAAAAAAAAAAAAGAAAAGTGACATCTCAGATGCAGAGATGGGATATGTCGAAGAAGCACCAGGGTAGTCCAGCAACACAGGTGACTGAAGAAACAACCAGAGATTAGCAAAAGTTGGCTGAAGAGAAAAAGCAATGTTTGTTGGAGATTTTGCTTAGGGTTTTTTGATAAAATATTATTTCCTTTCTATACCTATTATTTTAGTACATCAAGTTCCCAAAACAAATTCCTATTTTTATTATGGGGACAGAATAAAAATCAATATCAATATTTGATTGTTTTTTTTTTTAAAAACTCAATTCCTAAGTTGCTTACCTTTACCCCAGGATATTATTAGAAATGTAGAGTGATTTCCAGATAACTGAGCTCTTCATGTGGCTATAATTATAATTAAGCCCTAAGAGCACATTTCTTGCATTTCTATTTAGCAGACTCATTAAAAAAATATTTTTTTCTTAGAAGTTGCTAAAGGGAATTACCAGAAATTATAATCAAGAGGGACTAATATCATTCACAGACATAATGTTTTTTAATTAAGTGCATGTCTCATGCATATTATCTTTTTAAATCTGTTTTAATTTTACAAGGTTATAAATTCTCAATATTTATAGAGTAAATAGTTCTGAAAGGTTTGTTATGAAAGATGTGCCTCTCCATCCCCTCCCCACCCCCCGGCTCCGTCACATTGCAACCACTTTCTATTCTTTTAGCCTAATATAAATATTTTTATATTTACTTCTATGCTTTTAAGTATTAGGCTTATATTGCTCCTTCCTGATTTTTCCATTTTTAGGACATTGATTTCCCACTGTGGAAGTTAAGGATGAAGTTCTATTTCCTCCTTCCCACCTCCATCATACATGGCAACCTTCCCAGAAGCCCATTCTCCCAATGTAATTATTTTATTTCCAATGTATATTATTTTTTGTTAAATAAATACTCAGCATTTACATAGCCATAAATAAAGTTACTTTCTTCTCTTACACAATATTTTATTTGCCCCAAAGCTAATAACTGCATTATACTCAAATTTGCTTCGTTTTCTGTCTTTAGTTCAACTCCCAACTCTAGGTCCAATGTTTAAATCTCCACTCAAGTCTTCAGATGCAGCTAGAATTTTGTCAATTTCATCTTTCTAAAGCAGCAATTCCAAAAGATTTCTGACCAACTCTAATTGGGACTGGGTGCTATCCATGCCTAACACATAACTATCACCCTGGGTTCCTTCAGCATCATCTTGTAATCTTCTTCTTTTCTTCTCATATTTGATATTTACTGTGTTTCCTGGATTTCATAATTCCCGCTTTCCTGGCTTATTCCTTTATTTTGTGGATCACATATCCAGAATCTTCTTGCAAAAGGTGCACGAGAGGTACTTCATTTATTTATTTATTTATTTGGCTTAGCATGTCCTAAATTGTCTTTATTCTATTGATACACTTAGTTGAGAGTTGGCGAAGTGTGGAATACTAAGTTGGAATTCATTTCCTTTAGAATTTTTTTTTTTTTTTTTAATCCTCACCCGAGGACATTTTTCCATTTTTTGTTCAGGTAGAGTGGGAGGAAGAGAGAGAGAAAGAGAGAGAGAGAAACATCGACGTGAAAGGAACACATCGAGTGGCTGCCACCCGCACAACCGACCAGCGCCGGGGACAAACTGCAACCGAGGTACGTGCCCTTAGCGGGAACCGAACCCGGGTCTCTCAGGACTGCAGGTTGACGCTCTAACCGCTGAGCCAAACCGGCCTCCTTTAGAATTTTGACGGTGGTCCATTGCAGTGGGACCAGCTAGGGAATGGAATCTAGAGAACTCCATTGGTCCCTAGATTCAAGTGTTGCTAGTGAGCCACGTGAAGCCATTCTGATTTGGGAGTCTTTATAACCTGGAAGCATGGGGTACCTTCTCTTTATCTCCAATGTTCTGAAAGTTCACAATGATGTGCTTTGACATGGATCAGTCTTCTTTGTTCTGGGTACTTGGTAGGATCTTTCAGTTTGGAAAGTAATATCCTTAAGTACTAGAAAACTTTCTTGAATCATTTATTATTTGCTTTCATTTCTTTGTTCTTTCTGGAATTCCTCCGTTGGTCCTCTGATGTAGTTATGGACTGAAGTGTGTCCCTCGAAAATTCATTTGTTGAAGCCCCGATTCCCAATGTTACTGTATTTGAAGAGAGGGTCTTCAAAGAGGTAATTAAGGTTAAATAAGCCTGGCCGGTGTGGCTCAGTGGTTGAGCATCGACTCATGCAACAGGAGGTCACCAGTTTGATTCCCAGGTTGTGGGCTTGATCTCTGGTGGTGGCGGTGTGTGCAAGAGACAGCCAATCGATGTTCTCTCTCGTTGATATTTCTATCTCTCTCTCCCTTCCTGTCTCTCTAAAATTAATAAAGAAAAAATATTTTTTAAAAAGATTAAATGAGATAATTAGAGTGGGGTCCTAATTCAATAAGACTGGTATTCTTATAAAAAGAGGAAGAGCGCCCTGGCCTGTTTGGCTCAGAGGTTAGAGCGTCGGCCCATGGACCAGAAAGACCCAGGTTCAGTTCCCGCTAAGGGCATGTACCTCAGTTGCAGTTTGTCTCCAGCCCCGGTTGGGGTCGTGTGGTGGCAGCCAGTCGATGTGTCTCTCTCACATTGATGTTTCTCTCTCTCTCTTCCTTCCTCTCTCCTTCCTGTTCTATCTGAAGATAAATGTGAAAATGTCCTCAGGTGAGGATAAAAAAAAGAGGAAGAGCCACACCCAGCTGGTATGGCTCAGTGGATTGAGCACCCTCCCATGCACCAAAAGATCACCAATTTGATTCCTGATCAGGGCACATGTCTGGGTCGACGGCTCCATCCCCAGTAGGAGGCATGCAGGAGGCAGCTGATCAATGTTTCTATCTCTTTCTCCCTCTCTAAAAAATCAATTAAAAAAATTTTTTTAAAGAGGACGAGCCATAGCCAGAGAGCTTAGTTGGTTAGAGTGGTTACAGTGTCATCCTGATACACCAGCATCTGGTTTGATCCCCAGTCAGGGCACATACAAGAATCAACCATTGAATGCATAAATAAGTAAAACAATACATCAATGTCTCTCTCTCAAATTAACAAATAAAATAAAAAAGAAGAAGAGACATCAGGGATTCCTGTGCACAGAGAAAAGACCATTGAGGACACAGAGACAACATGACCATCTGCGAGCCAAGGAGAGCAGCCTCAGAAGAAACCAAACCTGACCTTGATCTTGGACTTCTAGAATCCACAATTGTGAGAAAACAAAATTCTCCTGTTTAAATCACCCAACCTGTGGTATTAGCTCTGACTGCTTAGCTCTCAGGACTGCCCTCTACCTCTTGCCATTTGTATTCCAGATTTCAATTTTGTTTTCTGTCTTCTCTCCACTCTCTCCACCATTGTAAGTTTGAAAATCTTTTTGTTTTAAAGGAGTTTGGGGAGGAAGTAAAATATGTGTCTTCAGTCCATTATCTTTCCCCAAAAGTTCTCAGTGTGTTTTGTGTATTTGCTTAATTTTATTTTATTACATGTTATTTTACTTTAAAAATACTTAGGATAACATTTCAAGCAAAGAATAAAAAATCCTCTGAGAAACAGAGGAAAAGCAGAAATAGAAAAGTTGAAGAAATAATAAGGGGCAAATTTGAGGTCCAGACATCACATTCTGAAAGCCATGATTAGAAAAAGGTGACATCTGGGAGAGGGTTCAGGGGAAAAAAGTCCTGAGTTGTGGTGTGAAGGATGTTGTGTGACACATGCTTTAATAGATCTCACTGAGTTCAACTACCTTTGGGAAAAAAGCTTCAAGTGTTCGTGACTTCTACATTTTTCATTTATTCACTATTCAACAAACATTGATTACTAGCCACAAGACATGTTCACTTGGGCCTAAACATACTATAATGCGAATAAGATATGGTTATTGTCCAAGAAGTCAAGTGAATTAAGGGGAAGTGACTAATGGATTTAGTGATAGGAGAAGTCAGTAACTCTGGTCAGAGAGGTTTCAGTGAAGGTGAAATTCAAAAGGTGACAGATTGAGGAACATATGGAAACAGGAAATGTTGACAGCCTTTTCAAATTTGATTTTGAAGGAGAATATAAAGATAGAAATATGCAGGATTAAAGATGTATTGGTTGACTTTTTTTACCATTTTAAAATTCAATTAGTTAATTAATTTTTACTAAAGTATAGTTGATATACAATATTATATTCGTTTCAGGTGTACAACATAGTGATTCAACATTTATATACCTTATGATGTGAGCACCACAATAAGTCTAGTCACTATCTGACACCATACAAAGTTATTACAATATTATTGACTACATTCCCTGTGCTATATATTGTATTGTCATGACTTATTTACTTTATAACTGCAACTTTGTTCCCTTTAACCTTTTTCACCCATCCCCCACTACTCATGCCCCTCCCCTCTGGGAACCATCAATCTGTATCCATGAGTCTGTTTCGTTTTGTTACTGTAGTTTGTTTTGTCTTTTTAGGTTCCACATATAAGTGAAATCATTAGGTATTTGTTTTTCTCTGTTAGATTTATTTCACTTAGCATAATATCCTCTAGATCTATCCACATTATCACAGATTGGAAAATTTCATCCTTTTCTATTGCGTCACATACTTTTATTTATTTATTTATTTTATCCTCACCCGAGGACATTTTTCCATTTTTTGTACAGATAGAATGGGAGGGAGAGAGAGGAAGGGAGAGAGAGTGAGAAACATCGACGTGAAGGGACACATCGAGTGGCTGCCACCCGCACGACCAACCAGGGCCAGGACAAACTGCAACCGAAGTACGTGCCCTTAGCGGGAACCGAACCCGGATCTCTCCGGACCGCAGGCCGACGCTCTAACCACTGAGCAAAACTGGCCAGGGCTGCATCACATACTTTTAAAGAATATGTTTTATTGATTTTTTTGAGAGAGGGAGAGGGAAAGAAAGAAACATTGACGATGAGAGAGAAACATCATGGACTGCCTCCCCCACCCCCCCTACTGGAGATTAAGCCTCTCAAGGCATGTGCCCTGACCGGGAACTGAATTGGTGACCTCTTGATGCATGAGACTGCTCAACCACTGAGCCTCACCAGCTGAGCACATCATCTTTATTCATCTGTAAATAATGCTGCAATGAACACAGGATGTTTGTATCTTTTCACAAGAGTGTTTTTGTTTTCTTCAGATAAATACCCAGAAGTGGAATTGCTGGGTCATAGGGTAGTTCTATTTTAATTTTTTTGAGGAATCTTCATACTGTTTTCCACAGTGGCTGCACCAATTTACAATCCCACCGACAGTGCACAAGATTGATTTTCTCCACGTCCTTGTCAACACTTGTTTGCTGACTCTTTGATACTAGCGCCTTCTGACAGGTGTGTGATTTAAGCTTAACTCTTCTTATGGGAAAGAGCCAAAGAAGATAGAAGGTTGAAGATACAGGGCAGATTGGGGATGGTTAATGGGGCAAAATCCCTGAAAAAGCCAAAAAAAAACCGAGATCAAGAACACAGCCTGAGGGATGGGGAGGGAGGTGTCAATGAGGAAAAAAGAACATCTGTAACAAAAATAAATTAATAAAAATAAATAAATAAAAAAGAAAGTTAAATTCTCCACCCTATTTTCTGTTTGAAAAGGCAAGAAAGCAATATAATTTTTTAACCTATATAAAATAATAAAGCTAAAAAGAAAAAGGAACACAGACTGAAGGATTTTAAACGGAAAGATTTAGCACTGCACTAATCTGCACTGTAGTTAGAACCACAGAAAGGCCATGGGGGTGGAGGAGGCTTGTGTCCAGTTATGCACCTTGGATAGCAAACTGAGTAGAAAAGTAGCCGGTTCAAGCATTGGGGTCTGAATGAAGGCAACAAAACGCTGTGCGTGGGCGAGATTTCATGAACTTGATTTCAGAATTAGAACGCTTTAGCGATGACAAGCTGTTGCCTCCAAAAGCCATTTCTTAGTCCTTGGGAAACTGAGGCGTCTGCGTTGGTGACAGATGAATTGGAGACTCCCACTTTGCAAACGATCGTGGAGAGAGAAAGGCCCGTCCCACCGCCGAGGAGCGGCTCGGCGCGTGCGCACTGCGCGTGTGCCCGTCGCGCCTGCGCACGGCGTCAGCGGCGCCCCTCCCGTTCCGCTCTCCTCCGGCGCGGGCTGAATGGGCGTCTGGTGCACCACCCCGGCGGCTAGACGGCGGTTCCTCGTCCCCACGCGCGCCAGTGATTCGCCCTCCCTCGGCCAGAAACCCTCCGCCTGGGCCCGCGCAGGAGGAGCGGGGCCTCTGAGGGCAGCGGCGACCCCGCCGGCCTCGGTCTCTTTCCCTGGCGGCGGCGGCGGCGGCGGCTTCTTCCGTAGGACAATATGTTCAAGAGAATGGCCGAATTTGGGCCTGACTCCGGCGGGAGAGTGAAGGTCAGTGCCCGGCGCGCCTTCCTCCGCGAGCGGCTCTCTCGCCTCGGCTCCTCCCTGCGCCGCGTGGGGAGGGCGCGCGTGTTTGAACCGTGGTTTCCAGGCGGAGAGCGAGTGAAAGCCCCGAGGGGACATCTGTTTCTCTGGGCCCACTCTACGGCATCACCACCTCCCTTCCATCCCCGCCAAAAACAAACAGCGGTGGCTTAGGGAAAGCCGGGCAGTGTTGCCCAGGAAACAAGCCCCTCCAGGGCTGGGAAGTCGTGGCTTGGTGCTGTCATTGAGGTCCCCGGTAAGCAGGGGTGCACCCACCTGGTTGTGAGGGTAACAGTGGCAAATGTTTGATGAACGCTTCCCGCCTGCCAAACCCAAAGGCCAAAAGCTTTACCCGATTCAGCCCCTGCAGCAGTCTTACAATGGCAGTGTTACCCACAGTACTTACAAGTGCGATAACTAAAGAACTGGGAGGTAGAAAGAGCAGAAAATTTGCCCAAGTTTATGGTGTTTCCAAAGCCCCAAAGCTACAGCCAAGACACTAATCAGGGCAGGCAAAGAACATTGCCTGGCACACAGGGAACATCAATTCTAGCTTCTTTTCATTAAAGTTCTCATAGAGCCTAACATAATGTTTGACAGGGTAACACATTTCCCTCCCACTTTCTTAACATCCCCTGGTACATTAATTTTTAAGACAGGACAAGCTGGTTCCCAATATAACACCTATTTCTGTCCCTTATTATTTTTATTTATCCTAGAAAGGAAATTCTTCTTTAAAAGAAATCACCTACTTTTGTACCAATCTAGCTAGTATAGGTTTTTAAAGAGTCCTTATCTGTCAAATGGTTTTCACATAATATTAACTATATATTGTGTTTATAACTATACACAGTGCTTTAATATCACATCACATATAAAGTGGGAATTCTTTGAAGATTTCAAAAGCTACTGAATTTTTTTTCTGTTAATCCTCACCCAAGGATATTTTTCCATTGATTTTATTTATTTATGTATTTGGTCCGTACACCTAGCGGGAAGTGAACCCGGGACTCTCTGGTCCTTAGGCCCACGCTCCAACCACTGAGCCATACCGGTAGGGCTCCGTTGATTTTTAGAAAGAATGGAAGGGGGGAGGGGAGGAGGGAGAAAGAGAGAGACATTGATTCGTTGCCTCCTGCATGACCCCAACTGGGGCCAGGGATCGAACCTGAAACCCAGATGAGTCCCTGACTGGGAGTCAAACCCCCCTTGACCCTTCAGTTCATGGACTGATGCTCTAACTGCTGAGCCAAACTGGCCAGGGCAAATGCTACTGAAATGTTAATGTAAGGGGAAATAGATGCCAGGTAAATTTATAAACACACATTTGCCCAGACTTTTTGGGCAAGGTTTTGGACTGATAGGAAAGTATTAACAAACATGGGGTTAAAACAGATTTTGGAGAAGAACTTAACAGAACTTTCTGTACTTGCAATCATGTTAGTGTCTAAGTATTTGTAATTTTAAGTCCCAAGTGACTTGAGGAGATTAGGCCTGTAGTTCTCAAATGCTTTTCTATAAAAACGGGTGTGAGTTAGTTATATAATGCTTTAAACCATCTATTTTCAACATTTTTCATCCCATGGTGCACACAAACTAATTACTAAAATTCTGCAGCACACCAAAAATGCATTTTTTGCTGATCTGGCAAAAAATAGGTATAATTTTGATTCATTCACACTGTTGGCTGCTGTCATTTTTTCATTTGACAATCTAAGGGAAAATACGTCAGTGCCACTGACTAGTCACATATTGCCTATTTTAAGAATTGTTGAGGCAGGCCAGTTGAAAATCGCTGCTTTAAACTTAGAGATTGTTATGTGGTCTTGTACGCATCTTTTTCCAATTTAGATAAATTCTATCCAGGTAGAAAGTCTGTTGACAGATGAGCCCCCTTTTTATCATTGAGGAACTCTGCAAGTTCCTACCAACACCATAGCAGCCATGGGATCTATTATGTACTCCTTAGACTCATTCATTCAGGACTACAACCTGAGGCCCCATCTATGGTTGCCACAAAAGTGTCAGTAGCACTTACTGTGATTAGTTAAGTTTTCATACAGTTTAACTTATTCTGGACTAAATTTAGGCTAATAGATATTGAATTTATTTGTTATTCATTCAGCCACAATTAAGTTTTTCCATTTGTTCAAAAAAGAAATGCTTTCCCTCATTTCTTATTAATTATTGATTACATTGGGACAGCACTTATCACATGTGGTATATCTTGCTCTTTGACCTTCAGATATATTCTTACTATTGAACAATTGGTCTGAAATTCATGTGTAATGTTCAGCATTTTGTCTTCATGTGAAATTTTTTTCTCTCTCCTCTCCATCATAATCTGTCAACACTCACTGCCTTTACACTTACCAGATGTGATGAGAGACATGTATGTACATTCCAGAACTGAGCACGAATATAGCAAGCATGGCCATTGGCCAGTGTTAAACTAGCATCAGTCATCCAAATGCCCTTTATCATGATCTGAATCCAGTTGTAATATTTAACATTTTTATTTAGATTATTATTTTTTTTAATGTTTTTATTGATCTTTTTTTTTTTAGAGAGAGAGGAAGGGAGAGGGAGAAAGAAAAACATCAATGAGAAACATCAATTGACTGCCTCTTGCATGCCCCCTACTGGGCATAGAGCCTGAAACCCAGCCATATGCCCTGACCAGGAATCGAACCAGCAACCTCTTGGTGCAGGGGACGATGCTCAACCAACTGAGCCAGGCTAGATTAATTTTTAAAAGCCTGTTCCTAAGCATTAATATTTGTGAAATTATGGGTTTGAATTGCTATAGTTACGATTTTTCTAATACTGATTAAAGTAAACCCCTAAATAATAATATGAAAAATGTTTGCCCTTATTCTACCTAAAATCCTCTCCCAAGCTGCCTTTTATGTTTGTACTGTGCTTTGGAAAGCACTGCCATAAGCTAATAACATTACTATCAGATAATTGCAGTTGAAGTTGGCGACCTGTATTCCAGAGCCTTGCTTTACAGTTTGTGAATAAAGAGCCTTTTGTGTTTCTTTTCAGAAAAACTCTCAAAGTATTTTCCATGTTTTAAATAGATATTTTCAAAGTGGGAACATTATAATTAATCTGTTGTTTAGTTGTTCGTATTAATATAAAATGAGGATAATTGTCTAAAATTGCTTTACTGAGAAAAATGTTACAACCAAACTCTAGTTTTTTTAAATTTTAATTTTTCAATTACAGTTCACATACAATATTATATTAGTTTCAGGTATATGACATAGAAGTTAGAAATTTATATAACTTATGAAGTGATCACCCTGATGTAGCTAGTACCCATCTGACACCATATATAGTACAGTATTGATTATTCCCTAAGCAACTTTATTTCCCTATGACAATATTTTGTAACTACCAATTTGCACTTAATTCTTTCACCCCTCATCATTTACCAGTCTGACAACCATCAAAATATTCTCTGTATCTATGAGTTTGTTTCAGTTTTGTTTGTTTTTTAGTGCTTTTTTTTTTTTCTTTATTGACTTTAGAGAGAGAGGAAGGAAGAGGGAGAGGGAGATAGAAACAATGATGAGAGAGAACATTGATTGGCCACCTCCTGCATGCCCCACATTGGGGATTTGGCCCATAACCTGGGCATGTGCCCTGACTGGGAATTGAACTTGGTACATGGGTTGATGCTCAACCACTGAGCCACATAGGCTGGGCTGTTTGTTTTGTTTTTTAGATTCCACATATAGGTGAACTTATATGGTATTTTTCTGTCTCTGACTGACTGATTTCACCTAGCGTAATACCCTCTAAGTTCCATTCATGTTGTTGCAAATGGTAAGATTTTATTCTTTTTTATGGCTGAATAGTATTCCATTGTATATATGTACCACTTCTTTTTTTTTTTTTTTAATCCTCACCTGAGGACATTTTTCGATATTTTGTTCAGAAAGGAACACATCGAGTGGTCGCCACCCACACAACCCAACCAGGGCCGGGGACAAACTGCAACCGAGGTACGTGCCCTTAGTGGGAACTGAACCCGGGTCTCTCCAGACCGCAGGCCAACGCTCTAACCACTGAGCCAAACCGGCCCGGGCTATGTACCACTTCTTTATCCATTCATCTATTGATTGACATTTAGGTTGCTTCTGTATCTTAGCTACTTTAAATAATGTTGCAGTGAACTTATGGATACATATCTCTTTTCTTTTTTTTTTTTTTATCCTCACCTGAGGACATTTTTCTGTTCAGATAGAGTGGGAGGGGGAGAGAGAGAGAGAGAGAGAGAGAGAGAGAAACATCGACATGAAAGGGACACATTGAATGGCTGCCACCCACACGACCAACCAGGTCCGGGGACAAACTGCAACCGAGGTACGTACCCTTAGCGGGAACCGAACCCGGGTCTCTCTGGACCGCAGGTCGACGTTCCAACCGCTAAGCCAAACTGGCCAGGGCTACATATCTCTTTTCAAATTAGGGTTTTGGATTTCTTAAAATAAATACCTAAAAGTGGAATTGCTGGGTCTTCCTTTGTTCCTTAGAGTCTTTATTTTAAAGTCTATTTTGTCTAGTATAATTATTGCTACCCCAGTTTTTGTTTGTTTGTTTGTTTGTTTGTTTCCATTTTCATAAAGTATCTTTTTCCATCCCTTTTCTTTTAGTCTGTGTATCTTTTGATCTGAAGTGAGTCTTTTATGTGCCTGGCATTTCTTTTTTTTTTTTAATTATTTATTTATTTTTATCCTCACCCGAGGACATTTTTCCATTTTTTGTTCAGGTAGAGTGGGAGGGAGAGAGAGGAACAGAGAGAGAGAGAAACATCGATGCGAAAGGAACACATCGAGTGGCTGCCACCCGCACGACCAACCAGGGCCGGGGACAAACTGCAACCGAAGTATGTGCCCTTAGCGGGAACCGAACCCGGGTCTCTCCAGACCGCAGGCCGACGCTCTAACCGCTGAGCCAAACCGGCCAGGGCAGTGCCTGGCATTTCTTAAAACAAACTTTCAGAACTCTTGTTCTGTTTATTTGGACAATAATACAATATTAATTGGTGTTTAAATTATTTTTCTTTTAGGGGGTTACTATCGTTAAACCAATAGTTTATGGCAATGTTGCTCGATATTTTGGAAAGAAAAGAGAAGAGGATGGGCATACCCATCAGTGGACAGTATATGTAAAGCCCTATAGAAATGAGGTAGGCACTGTTTTTTCCTATAACATTTTTGAAGCTACAATTTGTTTTTATTAAAGATAAATTGTAATATTATTTTATAGTGATGTTATGATTATAAAATTGGTCCTTTTTAGAAATGTTATCCCAAAAAAGTCGAAAGAATAAAGCAAGAGTTGTCATCTTCATATAATTGTTCAGTAGAAATCAATTTTCCAAAAATGTTTTCTAATTAAAATTAAGTTACAGTAACAAGAACTATGCTATAAACACAGCATATCTTCCAGTCACCACGTTTTAAGTTAGTCTGGTATTTAATCAGGTGTTTCAGGAATAGTAGCTAATTTTTTAGATAATTTAGTAATAAGACCAGAGAAGATGAAAGACAAAACTGCTATATAATCTGGCTGCTGGCAATTTTGTTTTGTTGGTGAATCTCTAATGCCTGGAATGCAGCCCAAACGTATAGATATTCAACAGATATTTTTTGAATTAATGAACTGTCCCTCTATTTAAATCCACACAAAAACTTCTCTGTGAATATTTATAGTGGTATTATTCACAATAGCCAAAAGAATGGAAACAAATGTCTTGAATAAATAAAATGTGATATATCCACGCAATGGAATATTATTAGGCAAAAAAAAAAAAGGAAATAAAGTATTAGGTAAATACTACTACCACATGAGGAAATTTAGAAACATTATTGTTGGAGAAAGAGGCCAATCACAAAGACCACATATTCTATGATACCATTTTTTTAAAATAATTCAGACACACAAAATAGATTAGTGGTTGCCACTGGATGAAAGGAAGAGGAATATGAGAATGAGTGCTAAGGGTATGGGGTTTCTTTTTGTATGATAAAAATGTTATAAAATTGATTGTGGTAATAGTTATACAACTCTGAAAATATACTAAAAACCATTGAGTGGTACATTTTAAATGGGTGAATTATGTGGTTTGTGACTATCTCAATAAAGCTATTATTTTTTTTAAAAGTTCAATGGCTACCTATGACTCTAATAAAGTTAGAACTATCTTATTTTAGGAGGCATGTGATGGTCTTTCCTTACCCTGTCTCTGCAGCATTATGTCTTGTCTGTGCTTGCTTCATCCTTTCTTTACACCTTACATTCTACCAATACTGAATCACTTTCGGTTCCAAAGGAGCACTCTTAACCCACTTCATTCCTTCACACGTACTCTATTCTTACTGTTTCCTAGTTCACCTATTTTCTTTAGAACTACTTTCTTGATCTCCAAAGTCTATTATATTAGGTGCCCTTCCTACAGTCTTGTACCTCATGCTCTCAGTAACACAGATTACTAAAATGCTGATTTTCTTGTCTGCCTCCTACTCCCTGGAGAGATCCTGAGGGCAAGTCTCTTATTTACCATCTTGGCCTCTGGTCCCTAAAAGGGCTGAACTGGCAGATCACATGCACAACACAAGGCCAATGTAGAGCAAAATGGCTTTATTGCATGTGCTTGGGTGCAGGTGGGCTGAGCTGAGAAGGGTTCAGCTTCGAATCAGGGTTGGGGTGTCGCTTATATACCCTACTTTTAGCTTCCAGCAATTCCTGCTGATGTACTCTGCCTGGCCCATTGTCCACTTTACAGTTGGACTGGTCTAGTATCACGTCCGGCATCTGCTGGGTTATCCATTGCCTTGCTGCCTTGCGGATAATCCAGATAATCCTTATCCGTACTCAACAGAAGGCTGAGCAAAGGTCATGCAAGCAACACAATTTCCACAGTTTCCGCCTTTTGCAAACTTTCACCTTTACCCTTTAAAACGCTATTAACACCCTACCCGGTTTGGCTCAGCAGTTAGAGCATTGGCCTGCTGTCCAGAGAGACCCGGGTTTGGTCCTTGCTAAGGGTGCGTACCTCGGTTGCAGTTTGTCCCCCGCCCTGGTTGGGTCGTGCAGATGGCAGCCACTCAGTGTGTCCCTTTCACGTCAATGTTTCTCTCTCTCTTTCCCTCCCACTCTATCTGAACAAAAAAAAATGGAAAAAAATGTCCTCAGGTGAGGATAAAAAAAAATAAAATAAAAAAATAAAACATTACTAACCCTTTCAGTCCCCAATATTAGTAGCCACTCATGTATGTAGAAAAAAAATAAATGAAAGTATTTTCAAAAGAGTCTTCAAAGGTACTTATGAAAATCTGCCTCAGAAAAAAATGTTAATATAGATGGTGTGTTGTAGAATTGTGCATCTCAAACTTGTATAATTTTGTTAACCAATATCACCCAAATAAATTCAATAAAAAGGAGGAAAAAGAAAAAAAAAATGTTCATAATATCATGTTAAGTAATGAAAGCAGATATTAATTTATCTTTACAATATTATTCCATTCTAAAAGTATATATGTAGATAATAAGCACACAAAAATTCCTGAAGGTGCCTGGCTGGTGTGGCTCAGTGGTTGAGCTTTGACCCATGCACCAAGAGGTTGCTGGTTCAAATCCCGGTCAGGGCACATGCCCTGGTTGTGGGCCAAATCCCCAGTGGAGGGGCATGTAGGAGGTGGCCAATCGATGTTCTTTTCTCTCATCGATGTTTTTATCTCTCTCTCAGTCTCTCTTCCTCTCTCTCTAAAATCAATAAAGAAAAAAAATTTTTTTTAAGTAAGAAAAGGAGGAGTTTTATATACAACAGTTTTAGTTTCTTAGTTTAGTTAATCTTGGCTTTGTATGATATAATTTTGTTCTTTGAAGTTGTGTAGTTCTTAAATTTGCTTTGGATTATATGGTTATTATAAAAAATATTGGAAGTGTATTTTTATGGAAAAAAATGGAGTGTTGTATATAGATAAATATATAAAATGATTTGCAAAACAAGTGAATTGCTATGTATAGTTCTATATATTGTGAATTATGAAAGAATTCAGCACAGGCTTCCTTGTTTAAAATAAAAAGCAAACCTCCTAGGTATAATTCATGGTTTTTTTAGAAAATTGAATTCCATATTTGAGGGGAAATGTATTTTATAAAATAGATACATATGCTTCGTGTATTTTCCTCCTAGTTTTTATATGTAGATAGCAGAACTAACTAATTCCCCTGTATTTTAGGATATGTCAGCATATGTGAAGAAAATTCAGTTTAAGTTACATGAAAGCTATGGCAATCCCTTAAGAGGTACAGTATAGTTTTTCTATTTATAATATACAGATTTAAAAAGAGCTAGGAAACAGCATCAGTAATTTACAATTATAATTGTTTTATTTTTTTCTCTTCTTCAGTTGTTACTAAGCCTCCATATGAAATTACTGAAACAGGATGGGGTGAATTCGAAATAATCATCAAAATATTTTTTATTGATCCTAATGAAAGACCTGTGAGTAATAATAATCTTTGTATATATAAAATAGATTTTTTTTAGTAATTGTGAAAATAGCAATACTTAATGAAGAGCATATTCTATGTTGACATTTTTATTCATCTATACTTTATGTATACTTATGGCATGGTTTATCTTGCCATGAGTTAAGATTTTTCATTTTAAGTGATGTGCCTTCTAAACTTTTTATTTTTCAGTATAGAAAGAGGGAATACAGTGTGAACATTTATTGGAAAGAAACCATGAAAATCATATGATTACTACAGCAAAACTTTTATTTTGTTTTATTTATTTATAGTTAGGAAGGAGAGAGACAGAGGGGAAAAAAGCCATCGGTTTGTTGTCCCACTTAATTATACATTCATTGATTGCTGCTTGTATGTGCTCTGACTGGGGATTAAACCCACCACCTTAGTGTGTATGGATGATGCTCCAACCAACTGAGCTACCTGGCCAGGGCTACTACAGCGAAAATTTTAAATTCATACTATCATTTGGTTATTAGTAATAAACAAGTTGAGTCCACATGCTGTCTGAAATGGGAATATCCTGCTTTTTATAGTTAAAAGCCCTAGAAACAGCCCTGGCCAGTTTGGCTCAGCGGTTAGAGCGGACCAGAGAGTTCTGGGTTCGGTTCCCGCTAGGGGCATGTACCTCAGTTGCAGTTTGTCCCCCGCCCGGTTGAGGTTTTGTGGGTGGCAACCAGTCGATGTGTCTCTCTCACATCGATGTTTCTCTCTCTCTCTTCCTTCCTTTCTCCCTCCCTCCCTCCCTCTGGCTCTATCTGAAAATAAATGCAAAAATGTCCTTAGGTGAGGATTAAACAAAAGAGCTCTAGAAACAGTCTTTTAGCTTTTTCAAGCCGCCATCAGTACTAGCAGCTTTACTTTATATCGTATTCATGAGTCTTTTTTGATAACTACCAACTTTTTTATCTCTTGATTCCTTATCAGATTGTTGCTTGATAATGTAAAACCTTTCAGTTTGATCCCTCAGCAACTTTGTGAAGTTGATGATATCCTCATTTTAAATATGAGGATACTAAGACTCAGAGATCAAGTCACAGGCTCAAAAATAGTTGTGGCAGAGCTAGTTTTGAACTCAAGTGTTTGCATTTAGACCCCACACTCTTTCCATTACTCTTTCTTTTGACAAACCCCTAAGCCTGTTTTTATTAATTGATTGGTTAGTTGATTGATTTTCTAGAGTGAGAAAGGGGGAGACACAGAAACATCAATTTGTTGTTCACTTTTTTATGCATTCATTGGTTGACTCCTGTATGTGCCCTGACCAGGGATCAAACCCACAGCATTGGCATGTGGGAATGACCCTCTAACCAACTGAGCTACTCGACCAGGGCTCTGTATATGGTTTTAAAGGAGTTGAGTATTACCTGGGCCAATTAGCTTCTAACTGACTGCATCAGAAGTACCTGAAGTGTCTTAAAAATTCAAACTAGCCCAGCCTGTGTGGCTCAGTGGTTGAGCATCGACCCATACACCAAGAGGTCGCTGGTTCAATTCCCGGTCAGGGCACATGCCCAGGTTGTGGGCCAAATCCCCAGTGGGGGGCATGCAGGAGGCGGCTAATTGATGTTCTCTCTCATCGATGTTTCTATCTATTTCTCCCTCTTCCTTCCTCTCTCTCTCTAAAACCAATAAAGAAAAAAAAAAAAATTAAAAAAAAAAAATTCAAACTAATAGGCCCAATTCCCTGGAGAATCTGATTCAGTAGTTTGGAGAGGAGCCAGCACCCCAGGTGATTTAGAACCCATTAATGGAAGCCATACTCTTCCTAGGTAGAAATGTCTTCATGCCATCTCTCAAATAAGAATCTCCTTTGGATTTGCTGGCTTCAGTGTGGAGAATATGGACTTTTGTCATTAAGTGAAACATCCTGTTCAGGTTTGGGGTAGTTCGAAAACTAGTTTTAAGAAAACTCTACTTGCCCGGCTGGTGTGGCTCAGTGGTTGAACATCGACACATGCACCAAGAGGTCGCCAGTTCGATTCCCGGTCAGGGCACATGCCCAGGTTGTGAGCCTAATTCCCAGTGGGGAGCAGGTGGGAGGCAGCCAGTAATTGTTCTCTGTCACTGATATCTCTGTCTCTTTCCCTCTCCCTTTCTCTCTCTCTAAAGTTAATAAAGAAAAATTATTTAAAAAAGAAAGAACGCTCTACCTTATTTAAACTTGCTTCAATTTTTTATTGATAATTGTTCATATATTTTCTTTTTTTCCAAATAGCATCTATAGCTCATTTAAATATTTTTCATGTGATAACGTTTCCAGATTGCCTACCATTTTTGTTTTCCTTCTAGAATATTCTCACAACCATTATATTTATTTGGTAAGAAATTATTATTATTATTTTTGTTGTTGTTATTTTTCCATTGATTTTTAGATAGAGTGAAAGGGAGGGAGGGAGAGAGAGAGAGAGAAAGGGAGAAACATCAGTGCGAGAGAGACATATTAATTTGGTTGCCTTCTGTACAACCCTGACCAGGGCTGGAGTCAAACTGCAACTGAGGTATATGTCCTTACCGGAGTCGAACCCTTTGGTCCGAAGACCAATGCTCTAATTGCTGAGCAAAACTGTCCAGGGCAAGAATTATCATTATTATTATTATTTTTTTTAAGAAAGCAAAACAGTGTGAAAGCACTTTGTAAACTAAGCAGATATGCCATTGGTGATTTTTTTTTTAATCCTCACCTGAGGATATTTTTCTATTTATCTTCAGATAGAGTAGGAGGGAGAGAGAAACATCAATGTGCACAAAACATCAATCACCTGCCTCCTGCACACTCCCTACTGGGGATTGAGCCTGCAACCCGGTATGTGCTCTGGCTGGGAACCAAACCAGTAATCTTTTGGTGCCTGGGATGATACCCAGCCAGCTGAGCCACCCGGCTAGGGCTTGGCCTGAATTTTATTTCCCCAAAATTGTTATAGTGTTCTTTTAGTATAATGAAACCATTTTTCGATAGATGGTTCTTGGAGAAAATGTCATATAAAAGTTTATTTAAAATATAAAAGAAAGACACAGGTAACTTGTGATTTACTTCTGTTATCCAGTAACCTATTATAGGTCAAGCCTTTATAAAAGGAACAGTTTCTAAAAGCAAAATGCTAAAATTGGGTTTTTATGCATAGAAATATTTATAGCAAGTACAGGCATTTTCATTGCTCTAAAACTCAGCAAACACAGCTCAAAATTGGAGACATCTGTCTTGAAATTTTCTGTTGCCTATATTTTCATAAATGCCTCTGGTAGTCTAAATAATAAATCTAAGAGAGGACATTGTTACGATCTAGTTTTATATTTTTCTTAAATTATAAAAGTCAAACATACACATACTTTTTTTTTTTTTAATCCTCACCCGAGGATATTTTTCCATTTTTTGTACAGATAGAGTGGGAGGGAGAGAGAGAGAGAAACATCGACGTGAAGGGACACATCGAGTGGCTGCCACCCGCACGACCAACCAGGGCTGGGGACAAACTGCAACCGAAGTACGTGCCCTTAGCGGAAACCGAACCCGGGTCTCTCCGGACCGCAGGCCGACGCTTTAACCGCTGAGCCAAACTGGCCAGGGCCATACTTTTTAAAAAAGTTTTCAAAAATAAAATGTACAGGTCTTTTGTATTAGTTTTCTAGGGCTGCCATGACAAAGTACCACAAACTGAGTGATTAGACGACAGAAATTTATTCTCACAGTTCTGGAAGCTAGAAGTTCAAAATTAAGGTATTGGCCATGCTCTCTCCAGAGCCTCTAGGGGAGGATCCTTCCTGGCTTCTTCTAGTTCCTGGTAGCCCAGGCATCCTTCGTTTGTGGCAGCGTAACTTCATTCTCTGCCTTCGTTGTCACATGGCCTTTCTCTGTCTCTCTTCTTATTTTTTTTTTTCCTCATTCGAGGACACTTTTCCATTTTTTGCACAGACAGAGTGGGAGGGAGAGAGAGGAAGAGAGAGAGAGGGAAACATCGATGTGAAAGGGACACATTGAGTGGCTGCCACCCGCACGACCAACCAGGGCCGGGGACAAACTGCAACCAAGGTACATGCCCTTAGCGGGAACTGAACCCGGGTCTCTCTGGACCGCAGGCGACGCTCTAACCGCTGAGCCAAACCGGCCAGGGCTGTCTCTCTTCTTATGAGGACGCTAGTCATATTGGATCTGGGCACACTCTAATGGCTCCATCTTAATTTGAGTACATTTGCAAAGACCCTGTTTCCATGTAAGGTCATATTCATAGGTATTGAGGGTTAGGACTTAAACATATCATTTTGGAGGCACAATACAACCCATAACATCATCTTTTCTTCCATATCTTGATACTTTTCCCCAGGAAAACCATAGTTACTCTTTTCTGTTTCTATAGAAATTATTCCTGTGCATATCATGTATTTAAATCCCTAAGTTTGAATTTTTCAATTTTAGATAGTACCTGTCAACTCCTAATGATGACAGATGATTCTTTTTCTTCATCTTTTCAGGTTTCTTTTTTCATTTTGCTGGAGGAATTTCTTCAGAAAGGATGCTTGAGAAATAAACTTTCAGAGCCATTGCTATCTGAAAATTGATTGCTATCTTTATTTTTATTTTATATTGATTGTTTGGGTGAGAAATTCTAGGTTCCACAGGAGGACATGCTCTTGTCTATGAGTGAAGGGGGGAGAGGAAAGGGACATTAACAGGTCCAGCCACCCACAGCATTCTTGATTTCTACACCTGCCAACTTTGAGCTTGGAACCTCTCTGGGGCTTCCCTGGGACGCTGGTTCCCACCTGTGACCAGTTCTCTTTCTTATGTTTTCAGGTTGTAGATTTCCCTGTTGTGGAGTATGCACCTGTGTAGTCTCATCTACTTTCGGTCTGTTCCATAAATTTGTCAAATTATCTGCTTGAAATATGGCCTATGATTGATGCATGTTCCTTATAATGATTTTTGCTAAGTTTTGGAAAATTCTTTGAGGCCTCTGAATTGGTTTCTTGAACTTCAACATGAACTCTGATATTTAGCCAGCTAGCTTTTATTTTGCTCAGTAATCACACATTATGCTACAAAACTTTTCCTTTGATGTCTTACTATACTTGTTTTTAAGTATTTTGAAGACATGTTGCTCTTGCAAAGTGAATTATCACTGACTTTGTTACTTATGTAATAATCTTATAGATCACCAAAGAAATTATCTTGCCCTGCCCGACTGGTATGGCTCACTGGTTGAGCATCATCCCATGCACCAGGAGGTCACTGGTTCAATTCCCGATCAGGTTACGTGCCCAGGTTGTGGGCTAAATCCCTAGAGGGGGACTTGCAGGAGGCGGCCAGTTGATGTTCTCTTTCATCGATGTTTCTGTCTGTCTCCTCCTCCTCCTCCTCCTCCTCCTCCTCCTCCTCCTCCTCCTCTCCTCTCCTCTCTCTCTAAAAATCAATAAAGAAAAAAAAAAATATCTTGCCCTCACTGAGCATTTTAGTATTAGTCATTCCTTTTGAAAGTATCAAATCTTTTTTCCCATAGCAAATTTGTGAACTTCAGTTTTCACAGAACAACTGTCACAATCTAATTTCGCTTGGGCTAGTAAAAGAATTTGTGTTAGTGGTTTCCCAGTTTAATTTTCATAGCTGTATCTTACGTTATTTTTATATACAGTCACTTTCTAGACATGCCCTGTAATAGATCCTTACTTACTCTCTTCAGAATGTTCGTGTTTAGATGTGGATGGTAATACCTAATAGGAAAATAAAAATACAGAGTTTGAGTGATTTGCCACAGTTAAGTTGTAGTTGAGACAAGACCTGAATTTGATATGTTTACTAATTCCAGTCTCTAATTCAATTACAGAAATGACAGTGTTTCACAGTGATGAAGGTAACCTACAATTGCATAGATGTGATGTCTGTTTTTATTTCACAGGTAACCCTGTATCATTTATTAAAGTTGTTTCAATCAGACACCAATGCAATGCTGGGAAAAAAGACAGTGGTTTCAGAGTTCTATGATGAAATGGTAAGAAGATTTTATAATGAGCGTTAAAAGCATTTAAAATTTTAGAACTTTGAAGTTATTGGGCCTTTTTTGATTTTATTCCATTAGATATTTCAAGACCCAACAGCAATGATGCAACAATTATTAACAACATCTCGTCAGCTAACATTAGGAGCCTATAAGCATGAAACAGAATGTAAGTGTCCTGAGTTCATAATGAATCCTGAAAAATAATGTGTTATGTAATAGAGAAAGGATTGTATGATTAGTGACTTCTATTTTATTTTTTTTACACTTATCTTTATTGTTGAATGTATTACAGATGTCCCCTTTTTTCCCCCATTGACCTCCTCTTTCCCAATTCTGCCCCCCTCCTGCCTTCCCCACACTATTGTCAGTGTTCATTGGTTATGCATATATGCATAGAAGTTCGTTGGTTTATCTCTTCCTGCCCTCCCTCTCCCCCTTCCCTTTGAGGTTCATCAATCTAACAACCAATTTGTACTTCTTTTTTTTTTTTTTATCCTTACTTATTGTTTTTTGTTCAGATAGAGTGGGAGGGAGAGAGAGGAAGAGAGAGAGCAAGAGAAACATCGACATGAAATGGACACATCTAGTGGCTGCCACCCGCACAACCCAACCAGGGCTGGGGACAAACTGCAACCAAGGTACATGCCCTTCATGGGAACTGAACCCTCTGGACCGCAGGCCAACGCTCTAACCGCTGAGCCAAACCGGCCAGGGCCAATTTGTACTTTTTAATTCTTTCATCTTCACCCATCCCCCCAATCCCCTCCCCTCTGGCAAGCAACAAAAAGTTCTCTGAATCTTTGAGACTGTTTCTGTTCTGCTTGCTCATTTTGTTTGTAGATTCAGTTGTTGATAGGTATGTATTTATTGCCATTTTATTGTTTATATTTTTGTTCTTCTTCAAGAAGACCCTTCAACATTTCATATAATACTGGTTTGGTGGTGGTGAACTCTAGCTTTTTCTTGTCTGGGAAACGATATGTCCATCGATTGTAAATGATGGCTATGCAAGATAGAGTAATCTTGGTTGCAGGTCATTGCTTTTCATCACTTTGAATATATCTTGCCACTCCTTTCTGGTTTGCAAAGTTTCTTTTGAGAAATCGGGTGACAATCTTATCAGTGCTTCTTTGTAGGTAATGAACTGCTTTTCTCTTGCTGCTTCTAAGATTCTCTCCTTGTCTTTAACCTTTGGCATTTTGATGATGATGTGTCTTGGTGTGGACCTCATCTCGTTTGGGACTCTGTGCTTCCTGGACTTGTATGTCTGTTTCCTTCATCAAGTTAGGAAAGTTTTTTTTTTTTTTTTATTGCTTTTTAGAGAAAGAGAAAAACATCAATTTATTGTTCCACTTATTATTTATGCATTCATTGTTTGATTGTTGTATGTGCTCTGCCTGGGGAATTGAACCCAAAATCTTGGTGTATCGGGATGATGCTCGAACCAACTGAGCCACACCAGCTAGGGCTAATTTAATTTTTTTTTTTTTTTTTGTACAGACAGAGTGGGAGGGAGAGAGAGGAAGAGAGAGAGGGGAAACATCGATGTGAAAGGGACACACTGAGTGGCTGCCACCCGCACGACCAACCAGGGCCGGGGACAAACTGCAACCGAGGTACATGCCCTTAGCGGGAACCAAACCCGGGTCTCTCCGGACCGCAGTTGGACGCTCTAACCGCTGAGCCAAACCGGCCAGGGCGGCTAATTTAATTTTTTAATTACAGTTTACATTCAATACTATTTTGTATTAGCTTCAGGTATGTGGCATAGTGGTTAGACTATCATATACTTTATAAAGTATTCTCCTCAGTGTTTCTAGTACCCACCTGGCACCATGCATAGTTTTTACAATACTATTAACTATATTTTGTAAGCCCTACTTTACATCTGTGTTAGATAAAACTTTTTTTGATAGAGGTGAAAATAATTTTACAAATGAAAGAAATTACATAGAAAAATATGGATTGTTTTGGCAATAGACATACTTACCTGTCTTACAAAATGTATCACAAAAAGAAAGTTACCAGCAATGAGCAAACTAAGAAAACATTATTGCATGTTTTTAATGTGCTAGATGCTTTACATATATATGCAGTCCTCCCTTGGTATCCACTGGGGATTGGTTCCAGGACACTCAGAGGATATGATAATCTGCTGATGCACAAGTCCCTTATATAAAATGGTATATTTGCATATAACCTATGCATATTCTCCTGTATGTTTTAAATCATCTCTAGAGCCCTGGCTGGTTTGGCTCAACGGTTAGAGCGTTGGCCTGTGGACCAGAGAGACCTGGGTTCGGTTCCTTCTAAGGGCATGTACCTTGGTTGCAGTTTGTCCCCAGCCCCGGTTGGGGTTGTGTGAGTGGCAACCAGTTGATGTGTCTCTCACATTGATCTTTCTCTCTCTCTCTTCCTCCCTCTCTCCCTCCCGCTCTGTCTGAAGATAAATGCAAAAATGTCCTTGGGTGAGGATATAAATAAATAAATAAATAAACAAATAAATAATCTCTAGATTACTTATAATATACCTAGTACAATGTAAATGCTATGTAAATAGTTGAACTGTTTTATTAGGGAATAACGGGGGTGGGGTGGGGAGGGAGTCTGTATGTGTTCAGTGCAGATGCAGTTATCTAGGCCTAATTGCATAGTACACATTAGCAACAACATAACATCCTTCCCCCTCCCCCAATTTTTGTCTACAGGTACAGAACCCATGGATACAAAGGGCCAACTGTATTGATTAATCCTTATAAATCTTCTGAGAAATACAGTTTTAACTGTATCATAAAGACCAGATTGAGGGAGACTTAGAAATGTCAGCTTTCAGCTAATAAAGAGCCAAGGGTATATTTGAACTCAAGTCTTTCTGATTTCAAAGGTGTTTTTTTTTTTTCCTTCACCAAAATATACTTCTTCCAATTAAAGATCATCTTATGCTATATTTAAAGCGTTAGTACTGTATGTACTTTAATGGTCATCAGCAGCAATTACCTGAAATGTCCACAAGATGGAGATGTTGAGTGAAAGTAGGCATTTCTCCTTGTAAAACATAATGCTGCACTAAGTGGACTATTTAAATAGATGAATTCTGTTTTGCAGTAGTGATATTTTTTTTTTCTTTTTTCTTTTTTAAATCTTTATTGTTGAATGTACAATGTATTACAGATGTTCCACATTTTTCCCCCATTGACCCCCTCCTCCCCACTCCCGCCCCCCTCCCATCTTTTCCCACACTATTGTCTGTGTCCATTGGTTATGCATATAAGTTCTTTGGTTTATTTCTTCCCACTCCCCAACCCCTTTCCCTTTGAGGTTTGTCAGTCTAGCAATGAATTTGTACTTCTTAATCCCTTCACCTTTTTCACCCATTCTCCCAACTCTCTCCCATCTGGCAACCAACAAAATGTTCTCTGTATCTATGAGAATGCTTCTGATCTACCTGTTCATTTTGTTTGTAGATTTCATTGTTGATAGATATGTATTTATTGCCATTTTGTTTGTTCATATATTTTATCTTTTTCTTCAAAAAGACCCTTCATCATTTCATATAATAACGGTTTGGTGGTGATGAACTCCTTTAACTTTTTCTTGTCTGGGAAAGTCTTTATATGGCCATCAATTCTAAATGACAGCTTTGCAGGATAGAGTAATCTTGGTTGTAGGTTCTTGGTTTTCATCACTCTGAATATTTCTTGCCACTCCCTTCTGGCCTGCAAAGTTTCTTTTGAGAAATCAGCTGACAGCCTTATGGGAACTCCCTTGTAGGTAACTAACTGCCTTTCTCTTGCTGCTTTTAAGATTCTCTCTTTGTCTTGAACCTTTTGCATTTTGATGATGATGTGTCTTGGTGTGGGCCTCTTGGGGTTCATCTTGTTTGGGACTCTCTGTGCTTCCTGGACTTGTATGTCTGTTTCCTTCACCAAGTTAGGAAAGTTTTCTGCCATTATTGTTTCAAACAGGTTTTCGATTTCTTGTTCTCGCTCTTCTCCTTCTGGCACCCCCAAGATGCGAATGTTGGCACGCTTGAAGTTGTCCCAGAGGCTCCTTACACTATCCTCATTTTTTTTTATTCCTTTTTCTTTTTGCTGTTCTGATTGGGCGTTTTTTGCTTTCTTATATTCCAAATCGATGGTTTGCTTCTTGGATTTACGTACTCTAGTATTGAAACTGTGTAAATTATTCTTTATTTCAGTTAATGCCTCCTTCAATTCTGACTGCTCCTTTTTTATGCTCTTGAGGCCCTCACTAAGTTCACTGAGGTTCTCACTGAGTTCATTGAGTATCCTTATAAGCAGTATTTTGAACTCAGCATCTGTTAGGTTGCTTATCTCCATTTGGCTTAGTTCTTTTCTTGGGGTTTTGTTCTGATCTTTCATTTGGGACCTGTTTCTTTGTCTCCTCATTTTGGCTGCCTCCCTGTGTTTGTTTCTGTGTATTACTTAACGAGCGGTATGGGGCTAGCTGAGACCAGACGCTGCTTGTTTGAAAGAATTTAGGAAAAACCTGAAGCAGGATCCAAGACAGGCCAATCCTATGGTTAAGCAAGTGGCAACAGCTTGGGTGGGCCTGGAAGTTGGGTGGGGCGGGGCCTCAGGGAGTCACCAGGGCGGGGCTACCAGTGAGAGCCAGGTTGCTGGAGTCCCAGATATGGTGACTGTCTGCCGCCCCAGGGAAGGGCTCACCAAAGGAACAAAGGCCTTTGACAGCACGTTTGTCCCGGAGAAAGCCCCCTCTCCAGCTCTCGCTCCAGTGCCAAACAGCTCAGTTGTTCCCTGTATGTCTGGTGCCCCTCGAGCTGCCTCCCCTCCAAGCTTAGAGGGAGAGAGTCCGATAAGTCCGTGCGCGGGCCCTTTAAGGGGCTGCCTGGGGCTCCAGCCGCTTCAGCTTCCCTGAGCCTTAGTTCCTGCTGGTTTTTCCAGCCAGAAGTTATGGGGACTTCTCTTCCTGGCACAGGAACCCTGGTGTGGGACAGGGACCTCTCAGTCCTCAGGAAGGACCTTCCCAGCCGAGGTGTCCTCCTGATTTTTATCCACCACACGTGGGTGTAGGACCAGCCCATCCTCCTCCGCCCCTCCTACCAGTCTGGATGTGGCTGCTGCTTTAATTCCGTAGTTGTAGGACTTCCATTCAGCTGGATTTCAGGCGGTTTTGAATGATGGTGGTTTTGTAGTTTAGTTGTAACTTTGATGTGGTTGTGGGAGGATGCCATACCGCGTTTACCTACACCACCATCTTGATCGGAAGTCAGTAGTGATATTTTCTTTAGTAATTTTTTATATATAGCCAGCTAGAATCTTTTAAGTATCATTTAATGTTCCTTTGTCATCATAGTAGTTAATATGGCTTTTTATGTACCAGATGGTATTCTAGATACTTTATATATATGAATTCATTTAAAATTGCCTCAAGCCCTGGCCGGTTTGGCTCAGCGGTTAGAGCGTTGGCCTGCGGTCCCGAGAGACCCGGGTTCGGTTCCCGCTAAGGGCACGTACCTCGGTTGCAGTTTGTCCCCAGCCCTGATTGGTCGTGCGGGTGGCAGGCACTCGATGTGTCCCTTCACATCGATGTTTCTCTCTCTCTGTTCCTCTCTCTCCCTCCCGCTCCATCTGAACAAAAAATGGAAAAATGTCCTCGGGTGAGGAAAAAAAATAAAATAAAATTGCCTCAAAAAATAATAATGAGGTAATTGCTATTATAATATCCATTTTATAAATGAGGAAATTAGCGTATAGATAATAAATTACTGAGTGGCACAGCTAATTAATGGTTGCTGTAATTCCATTTAATTCAAACCTGGACTCTTACTGCTCTCTTTTTTGTTTTAACAGTGTGATTTTGTTTATGTCAGTTTTACCTCTACATAAATGTAAGAGCCTTGTATATTAGTGTTCTTGCTAGCAGGATGTCTTTTGGATTATATGCCCCCTTATTTCCAGATTAACATGAATATGGAGAAAAACAAGGATATTGCTGTAAAATTCTAACTATGAATTAAAATATCAGTGGCCATAATTTTATTATTAGTTACAGAAAACATCTGAGATACTCTCTTGGGAGTCTACATTTTCTTACTCACATGCCTGTATTTAATGTTATATATCTTAAGTTGCCCACATTTCATCATGGAAACATTGAACTCAGGAAATGCCTTATATATTACTCTGTGATGTATCCTAGATATGTAAGAAAAATGAAATAATTTAATAAAAGTGTATATTTTTCTTAGTTGCAGAACTTGAAGTGAAAACCAGAGAAAAATTAGAAGCTGCAAAGAAAAAAACAAGCTTTGAAATTGCAGAGCTTAAGGAGAGATTGAAAGCAAGTCGTGAAACTATAAATTGTTTAAAAAATGAAATCCGGAAACTCGAAGAAGATGATCAAACAAAAGAGATATAAATAGCTCTGAAGAGACCTTGATAGGAAACTAAACTTAAAATAAGGTGGACTTTAAAGGAGAAATGGACTGCAGATGCTTCTTAGAAGAACTGCATATATAGTAGAGCACCGATTTCTCTGCAATGGGGTCAAAGTATTTGTACTTTTCAAGCAATATTTAATGTGAAATATATGTATATAATACACATCAATGCTGTATAGGCATTTTATCAACCCATTTTAGGGTAATTCTATGATGTTAAGCACAATTTAAAAAAATTTTATTACATTGTATATAGCTTATCCTTTTGACAGGCATCATTCATTTATTATAAAATATAACTTAAGCACATTTTGTACTTCCCTGGTAGTTAGAATTAGTGGTAGAATTGTTGTATATGTTTAATTTAAGTTCTTAGCTGCCCTCGTCTGGATTCTTTTGTCTCTGATGTGCCAGTACCCGGTAAATACTCAATAAATGCAGTGGACAGATCCTCTTCCTGCCTTGTGAAGTGTTTCTTTTTTCCTCTTTGATGCACCTGAAGCTCTCATTACAATGACTGGGTCTTGATGCTACTGTGGTCGCACAGCTCTTGTTGGCATCCTTTGCAGTAGACAGAAGCACTTCAATGGCAAAGCTCATATCTTAAGTCTTGTTCTAACTACCATAGTGTCATCAGTTTTCACATAGAAAAAATTAATCCCTCATGCAACATGCTGATGTACAGGTGTTTCCAGAGATAAACAGGAAACACCTGTACATCAGCTTCACCTATTACCCTGATTTCTCTGCCTTTTCCCCAACCTCTCCTGTTCAGATCCACATGGTGAGCCCTCTACCTTTGGTAGTACTTAATGTTTAAGGCCAATTGGCTAAACTATCTTGGCTACCTAGGGACAACAATAGATAGGAAAGTACTTTGAAAAACAACATTAACACCCTTGCTGGGTAGCCCAGTTGGTTAGAGCGTCTTTCTGATACACCAAGTTTCTATTTCTGGTCAGGGCACATACAAGAAACAACCAATAAATAAATGGAACAGCAGCCCAGCAGTGTGGCTCAGTGGTTAAGCATCGACCCATGCACCAAGAGGTCACCAGTTTGATTTCCAGTCGGAGCACATGCCCAGGTTATGGGCCCCATCCCCAGTGGGGGGCATGCAGAAGGCAGCCAATCGATGTTCTCTTTCATCGATGTTGCTCTTTCTCTATAAATCAATGAAGAAAACATTTAAAATAAGTGGAACAACAAAATCAACACCCTCTCTCTCCCCCTCCCTCCTTCCTTCCCTCTAAAATCAATTTAAAAAGAGAAAATGTTACACAAGTTACAAAGCTCCTAAAAATGGCAACCGTGCCTTTGCCTAATGCATTTGCCTAATGCAGGGCTTCTATATTCTCTGTCGAGTTATAACTAGCCACTCTAGCACTTTCAGACACTTTTCTATCTGCCCTGGTAAATTGGTTACTTTTCACTTTGTCGCTTTATTTTTTAAGTTGTACCATTTATAAGCATTATGGAGGTCATACAAAGGTCTCTGTGGTCTTAGGTTTCTGCCAGGGGCCCTCTGTGGATTGGGGATAGCACTTCTAATTGTGCCAGGCACCATTCAGCTTTCTTCTACCTCTTATCCCAGTGTCTACAGTATCGGTTACGGCCTGGGGATGAATCAGAAAAACCGACGTGGGAAGAGCCTCGTTCCTGCCATAATGCTTCAATGAATACAGGAGTTCGAAATTTGTCGTCATGTCTCAATCTTACCCTCTGTCAACTCTTCTGCATTGGCATGAGTATGCAGAGAGAACTCTTACAACTCAAAAATAAAAGGACAATCCAATTTTTAAATGGGCAAAGGGATGGCCAGCCAGTGTGGCTCAGTGGTTGAGCATCGACTCATGCACCAAGAAGGTCGCTAGTTCTATTCCCAGTCAGGGCACATGCCCAGGTTGTGGGCCCGGTCCCCAATGGGGGGCATGCAGGAGGCGGCCAGTTGATGTTCTTTCTCATTGATGTTTCTATCTCTCCCTCTCCCTTCCCCTCTCTCTAACATCAATAAAAGAAAAAAAAGGCATTACATTAAAAAAATATATAAATAAATAAAAGGGGCAAAGGATTTAATAACTATTTCTCCAAAGAAATACAAACAGAAAAAAAAAATACTACTAAATAAATAAATAAATAAACTACAAATGGAAAGTAAACATGAGGAGATGCTCAACATGATTAGTCGTTAGGAAAATGCAAACCAGAACCATAAGATACTACTTTACACCCACTAGAATGGTTATACTTCTTTTTAAATATTTTTTAAGATATGTTTTTATTGATTTTTTTAGAGAGAGAGGAAGGGAGCAAGAGAAACATGGATATGAGAGAGACACATCGATTGGCTGCCTCCTGCACACCCGCTACTGGGGATCAAGCCGGAAACCTGGGCATGTGCCCTGACCGGGAATCAAACCGGATCATCTCAGTCCATGGGACGACACTCAATCCACTGAGCCACACTGCCCAGGCTAAAGATTTTTTTTTTATCCTCACCTGAAGACTTTTTTTTTTTTTTGCATTTATCTTCAGATAGAGTGGGAGGGAGAGAGAGACACACACACACATCAAGTGGCTGCCACCCACACAACCCCAACCAGGGCCGGGGACAAACTGCAACCGAGATATGAGCCCTTAGTGGGAACCGAACCTGGGGCTCTCTGGTCCATGGGCCGACGCTCTAACCGCTGAGCAAACTGTCCAGGGCAGATTTTTTAAATTGATTTTTAGATAGAGAGGAAGGGGGAGGGAGAGAGACAAAGAGAAAGAAGGAAACATGGATGTGAGAGCAAAACGTTGATTGGCTGCCTCCTGCGTGCCCCCTACTGGGGATCGAGCCCACAGCCTGAGCATGTGCCCTGACTGGGAATGGAACCGTCAGCCTTTTGGTGCATGGGATGACACCCAGCCAACTGAGCCACACTGGCCAGGGTAGGATGGCTATAATTTTAAAACAAAAATAAATAGGTGAGCGCTGGCCATTTGTCTCAGCAGTTAGGGCATCAGCCTGAGGACCAAAGAGTCACAGGTTTGATTCCCAGTCAATGGCAAGTACTTGGGTTGCAGGTTCAATCCTCAGCCCAGGTTGGGGGCATGTGTGGGAGGCAACCAACTGATGTGTCTCTCTCATTGAGGTTTTTCTCTCTCTCTCTCCCTCCCTCCCTTCCACTCTGTCTAAAAATCAATGGGGAATATTCTCTCTCTCTCCCATTTTTTTTCGTGTGGGAGGCAACCAAATTTTTCAGCAAGGCAGAAAACGAAATAAAAAATAAAAATCAGCCCTGGCTCAGCAGTTGGAGCGTCGGCCTGTGGACCAGAGAGTCCCGGGTTCAGTTCCCGCTAGGGGCACGTACCAAAAAATAAAAATTAAAAAAATTAAAATCAATGGGAAAATATCTTTAGGTGAGGATGTAGAGAAATTGGAATCCTCATGTTGCTGGTGGTAATGTAAAAAGGGTACAGTTACTTGGAAAAATAGTTTGGCAGTTCCTCTAAAAGCTAAGCCTATTATCCTAATGACCCAGCAATTCCACTTCTAGGTGTGTTTTCAAGAGAAATGAAAGCATGTTTACACAAGAACTTGCACATGAATGTTTGTGGCAGACATGCATAATAGCCAAAAGGACACAACCCAAATATCTATCAACTGATGAATGAATAAGTAAAATGGGGCAGAGCCATGCCATGGAATGTTATTCAGCCAGAAGGAAATAAGTACTGATTCTGCTACAACATGAACGAACCTTGAAAACAAATGTAAGTGAATGAAGCCAGACACAAAAGTCACATTTGTATGATTTTATTTATATGAAATATCCAGAATAAGCAAATTCATAAAAACAGAAACTTGATTACTTGTTGCCAGGGAATAAGAGGAAAGAAATTTCCACTTGGGGTGATGAAATGTTCTGGAATTAGTGGTGATGATTGCGCAATCTTGTGAATGTACTAAAAACACGGAATTGTACATTTTAAACATGGTTTTAAGACTATGTGAATTTATCTCAATAAAAATTTTTGAAAACATGTAAGTGACAAGTTTTGTTCAGAATTTTAAAGTAAACTTTAAAAATACAAGGTTCTGATTTCTATTTCCCCATTCTTGTACAAGTGGAAGAAAATATTTATTTACAAAGAATTAATTACTTTTGAGATTAAAAAAACTAAGAACAACTAAAGGAAAATCAGCTAATTAGCTTCTTTAAAGAAGATCAAAGTATAGGTCTAATGTTTCTAAGCAGTGACTAGTAGGTAGGTAGTTCTGCTATCCAGATTCTCCTATAGGAGATGGGAGATGAGGGATTAGTCATCTGGCAAGGTGACTCACACTAGTAATCGACAGCCTTTTTGCCTCAATGATACTTAATTCTTCTCATGTTCAAAGCCTCAGGCCATGCCTAAATACTTCTCAAATCTCTTTTCTTGGAGTACTTTAAGACTGCAGCAAATATGAACATCAGGTGGCCTGAATACAAGACATTGAGATAAAAATCTTGCTAGCATTAGTAACATGTAAGAAGATTCTGGTGTTAAATCCTGTTGGATGGTGTTAAATCCTGTTGGATGGAGCGAGGCTGCATGGTTAGCACGATGGCCCTCACATCAACCGCAGCCCTCTCACTTTGAAGTCTCTCCCTCCCTCCCTCCCTCCCTCCCTCCCTCCCTCCCCCCCCCTCTCTCCCCTCCCTCCCAGTCTCTCTAGAAAAAAAAAATCAATGAAAAAATATTTTTGGGTGAGGATTAAAAAAAAAAAGAAAAAGGAAAAAAAATCCTGTTGAATGGCATATTAAAGAATAGATTATTTGAAATCTCTTGTACAAGACATTCAAGGTACATATTCCTTAGAACTACTCCCAACGTCTCCAGTTGTTGTTTTTTAAATAGTAATAGCCCTGGCTGGTTGGGCTCAGTGGATCACAGGCCCAAGGTGTGTATGCAAGAGAAATGCAGGTTCGATCCCCAGCCCTTGTCAGCGTCGTGTGGGAGGCAACCCATAGCTGTGTCTCTCTCACATCTATGTTCCTCTCTCCCTGCCTCCCATTCTATCTAAAAATCAATGGAAAAGTGTCCTCAGGTGAGGATTAACAAAAATAAAATTAAAATAGTAATAAACTTTAAACTCTTGAGATTGAAACCAGAGACGGGATTACCTTCTGAGAAATGCATTGTTAGGGCGTTTTGTCATTGTACAAACATCACTGAGTGTACTGACACAAACCTAGATGGTACAACCTACTACACACCTAGGCTATGCGGTGTAGTCTATTGCTCTTACATTACAAGCCTGCACAACGTGTTACTGTGCTCAATACTGTAGGCAATTGTAACACAACAGAACGTATTTATATATCTAAACATATCTAAATTCAGAAAAGGTACACAAGATGTATGAGCCTGCTGCCCGAATAATGCGGAACACTGTTTTACAGCAAACCTTTTCTTTTTTTTTA